TGTGCAGCAGACTGCTGAGTTTGGGCCTGTGCACAGAGTTTGTCTTACAGAAGAGATGATCAAAGGGTTAACAGAGAAAAGATGATTAAAGAAGACTGAGGGAATTATGGCACAGACCTGTCACCACAACATGCTTTTGAGAAAGAGGGCAGAAAACACAGTCTCTAAACCCACTATTTATTTCTTTTTCCCCAAAATGAGTTAAGAGCTGTGGCTTGCTGCAGCACACCATATTTCATTAATCCTAGAAGCTTGCCTCTTCTAACTAGTGGGGCTCTGGCAGAGAACTGTGGGACTGAGTCTGCTGTAAAAAGAAAAACAAAGTTTATTAGAGTTACAGCAACAATTAAAAAACCCCAGACAATTATCCCAGGTTCAAGATGACACAACATTGATAATGCTGTAAAACTCCCATCATGTTACAGTAATAATTTAAACAGCAGCTTCACCAGGTCCTAAAGGGCTTCCTTCCTGCCTCTTCATCACTGTAGGCTCTAAATATCATTCACTCCTTCACAAGGAAATGAAATACCCCCGCTCCATCTCCATAGGCTAGGGCCATAGCTGCTATTCTGTTTCTCTGAGGCATAATGGGAAAAATTGCTGAGACCCCAGTTCTCATGCATCTTCCTCCTCCTTCTCCTCACCCCTTGCAGTGCCCATCCTGGCAATGGTGCAGCCAGCCTGGGGAACCCATGCAAGGGCTTCCCAACTAAATGCCGCCTCTCAGCAGCGTGCCCGTCTGTTCGCCAGAGGAAAGAGAGGGCGGAAAGCTTAGGGCCGAGAGCTGCTGGAGTGACAGGCACAACATAAACTGCGATGAGTGTTACAGCAACATGCTGGGAAATCAATGCACTGAGCAGTGGTGCCTCGGCAGGAGGAGGAGCAGCAGTCACGGGGGATGGGATTCAAGCACTGAGACCCGAGGGAAACGGAGCAGGTGGTGAAACCTCCAGCCTTGGTGTTCAGCAGGAGAGGAGATGTGGATGCCTGAGCCTCACTCTCTTTTTCTTTGCTCGCTTTCCCACCTATAAATAGGCATAATGTAATGTAATGTAAAGTAATGTAATATAATACTTCCAAGACGGGGAAAAAAAAGACATCTTCTCTATCCAGATGGAGTTTTCTTTGGAGCCTACGAAGGCAGGTTTGCAGGAGTACTGCTTTGGCCCAGAGCTGTGCATTAGATTGGCAGACGTGGGAGAAGTGAGGACCAGCAGCAGGGCCTACTCCTGGTTCCTGCCCATCCCCCTGCCAGATGTCCTGTCCCATTCTGATATCTAGGGACCAGGAATGCTAGTGGGCAGCTCTCCATCCCATTCAAGGCAATGGTTCCTACTGAAGGTCCAAAAGCATTCCCCTGCAACAAAAGCATCACCCCCTCCTCTCCCTCCTGTGGCATGGCTCAGCCCCGCTGTCTGCATTTGCATGTGAGGAAACTGAGGCTGAGAGAAGAGCGCGAGGATGACCTGGCTTCCTTTCTCCATGTCCAGTTTCCAACCATCCTCTCCTGGCTGGTTGTTATCCAGTTGTTAGCCACTGTGTGAGAACTAGAAATGCGTCCGTAGCAGGTAAAAATGGTCCTGTCTCTAAGAAACCTCAGGTGTCATACTTGGTTGTGTTTGTTTATGAGGGGCAAGGAGGGCTAATGGAGCATGGCAGCAAGGCTTTTGTCCTTCAGTGTCTGTGGTTTGAATTGGTGCGATATCAATAGTTCCCAAGTCCCTGCAGTGATCGTGCAAGGCATGACCACCACCATTCACTGGTCCTCTTGTTAGCCACCTCGGAGATGTCAAGAAATTAAACCTGAAACTGTAAGGACAAGCAAAATTAATGGATCACAAATCGCTTATTAGCTTTCACTGATGCTGATGGTAATGCTTTCAATAAGCCTAATGAGAAGTGTTTGACTGTCTCTGTGAACTTGATTATTGATTATTAGTGAACGATAAGAGTCATTTGATATCTTGCTGATGCCATGCTCCTATTGCTTTGCAGTTAAAATGTCAGTTAACATGCCATTTAATATTCTATTAGTATTGAATTAGCACTTATTACACTGTGAAAATCATCACCATAAATCCTTATTAAAGCGTGATCCATACAGCTGGGTGGCATCTCTGGCAGACTAAGAAGGTGTGTGTGTGCAGACAGACTAACGGAGATGCATCATCCACATAGATGCATGTTCAGAGCATGTCGGGACTGGGAATTTTCACATTTGTATGTTGATTTTCTGTGACAGTTTGAAAGGAACATGTATGGTGAACAGAGAGCTCAAATCCACTTCACTTATGTTTCCCATTTTCCTCCTTTCTTTCTGCCCTTCCCTCCTTTTTTTATTTTGGTAGCACATGCTAACTTATTTCACGGGCATTTGCAAGGTTTTCTGACTATAGCTATTGACCACCGTCTAGGGCTGACCTTGATGGGTGTAGGACAGGTAATTACATGTTTTCTCTTCAAAAGAGAGGAGGGAGGGTCCCCAGGTGAGCATATCCTCAGAAGGATATGCCATGCTCTGACCATGGCACTGAGCTGTTACTGACACGAGGCATATGACAGGGCCATCTTTGCTGCCTCCAAAGAGAGTTTTATAATGACTAAGTGCAGGACAGAGCCATGGAGGGCTGCGCTAAAGGTTTGGAAAGCAGCCTGGCAGGACTGGTGCAGTGCCCTGGATCTGCTGGAGACCAGCAGCACATACAGGTGTTCTGGAGGATTTTCAGAAGTGACAGAACCTTCAGCTCCCACTGACTTCAGCTGTTAAACTGCTTAGCTTTTCACCACCAAAAGACCTAACTCCTGATTCTTGGTGCTGTTACGACTCTACGCAGAAACGTATGTGCAAGAGGGCTCGTGACCCTTAGACAGCCAGCTCTGGAGGCAGTCTGGATGTTCCTACAGGACTGCTGCTCCCAGACCTGGGGCACACTGCCCTCCTTGGGTCCTTGCTTTTACCTCCTGTCAATGCTGATTACAGCCTGGGACAGCCAATGCAACTGGAGTCATGCCCCATTGTAGTAGTACTGTTTTCTATATGTAAGTGGCTGCTCATGGATTCCCCTGCCTCTTTCTATTTGACAAAAAGCAGCTTTTTAAAAACAACTGAGATCACACCTGAGAGCTCACCTCAGGGGCAAGTGCCTGCCTGGCTGGGAGGGTGGGCTCTGGCCTGAGGGCCAAACCCTCTCCCCACCCTTGGCTGGATAGCAGTAGTAAGGGACAGGATCTGTTGGGCTGCTCTCTAAAGCAAATGTTTGTTGGATCAGACAGAGCTGCTTACAACTTGGCCAGCAGTGTGGTGAGCCTCTCATCGATGCTCACGCAGCTTGGCTTTCCTCCTGCCCACAAGTAACCCCAGAACAACTTGGACACGGCATCCATGGGCATGCCAAAAGGGAGTGGGTGAGAGGTGCCGGCCATAATGGTAGGGTCACATCACAAGGGATGGCAGCTGCAACGCAGCATGAATGAAATGCATTCAAATAGAGGAACTTGGAAAATGTCTGACCAATGCTAAAAGGCTGTATGAAAGCCTACTGTCAAATATTTGTCTTATCTTGAAGCAATAATCTTAATCCTCTCTCTTTTCTCTTTCAAATACAACACATGCATGAATAGTGAATAGGACACAATCCTGTGCAATGTGATGTAGAAGACTCTGCTTGAGCAGGGAAGTTTGACCAGATGACCTCACTGTGGTCCTTTCCAACCTTACCCATTCCGTGATTTTGTAGCAGTGGTGGGGAGAGGTGCTGGCTTATTTGGATGCTGTGACACTGGGCAGAGCTTTGAGAGGTGAAGGAGCAACACCTCTGGAGACTGAGCTTCCCCATTTATCCACAAAACAAATGTGGTGTGAGCTGCTGCAGGACAAACCCTCTCAATCTATCTGGGCCCACCCTGGTGGGTACAGCTGCCAGGAGGAAAGAGGAGTTATGTCTCTGTGTCTTCTTCAGCCCTGGTCCTCTTGAATAAGACACAGCTGAGAGTGAGCAGGACGTGCCTTGTATTGGCATCTCCTGATCTCTTCTGTGCAAGTTTTCTGGTGGTGGGAAGTGATGCAGAGCAGGTGCCTTTGCCAAAAGTGGATTTATCTTCGCAGCACCTTGTCCGCTTTGTCAAGAAACAAAATACTTCTCATGCAGTTGCAACAGGGTTAGTCCGTCCTCTGCCTTGTGATGGTTGGCAGTTGGGGCCATGGCGGTTGCTGCTCCTCCTGCTGCTCCTCTGCTTGCCACCCCTAGCTGTCATTCCTCCTCTCCTGTCCACTTGAGATCTTCACAGGATGTGCTGCGTGTCTCATAGGGATGGCAGTGACACCCTGCAGCCTCTCCTTTTCAGCCTGAGATCTGCACTTGCCTGCACAAGCAGGCAGATGTGCATCAGCGGGGAAGGGGGGGTGTGTGTGTTAGAAGGGTAAAGTCTGAGCAGTGAATCCCTCTTTCCTCAAACCTATTTTTGGTCAGAGGGATGTAGAAGGGAGATAAGCTATAGTTCTCTCCCCTTGTGCTGCTGAAACTGAGGGATGGAGGAGCTGTGCCCTAGCTGACAAAGCTGGAGCCCTGAACCTTTGCCCTCCAGGCTGGAAGAAGTCTGGGAGTGTAACTCTCTTGTATACTCAACTTTTGAAGGTGAGGGAAAAGCATAGGAAGAAGTACTTCTCACCTTTCCCATTGTCAGGGTTAGAAGGGATTTGGTGATCAGGATCTCTTTTGGCCTTCCAAAGTAACTTTTGGTGCAGGTATAAAGAAGAGAGAACAGGAGACATGACCACCTCAAATCTCATGGTTCATTAACCAAAAGTTCCTGAAGCCCTTAAAAAATCATTGTGAAATACATGTCCATGGGACAGCAATGATGAGAAGATGCTGTGGTTCACTGACAAGGCAGGAATATGCTATGAAATTTCTAAGCAAAGTAGTAAAGGGGAGGGACAAAAAGGAGATGATGGAGAGGGTTGTTGATCTCCCGCTCACCTTTCTCATCCTCTGCAGGTGTTATGTAGAAGACAGAAGCTCCAAGGTGGCCTGGTTAAACCGTTCCGGCATCATTTTTGCTGGAGAGGACAAGTGGTCCCTGGACCCTCGAGTAGAGCTGGAGAAGAGAAACCCCCTGGAATACAGCCTGCGAATCCAGAAAGTGGATGTCTATGATGAGGGGTCCTATACGTGTTCAGTGCAAACACAGCATCACCCCAAGACTGCCCAGGTTTACTTGATTGTGCAAGGTAAGCAACATACCTGTTAAGAGAGCAAAGAGCAAAATAAACAGTGAGTTGGGGGATCTGTATCTTTCTTAGAGAAACTCCAGCCTGTGTATCCCTTATGTTTACAACAGGAGCCAGCAGGACTGTCCCCTTCCACTGCAGCACAGCATGGCTTTACTCTGCTGTCAGTTTGTCCTTTTAAAAGTGGTGACAGAGCAGGGGACACCAGTGATGCCAAGACATATTCTAGTATAATGCAAACCTGGCTCCTTGCTCAGGTTGTTTTGGCACTGAGGGGAAAGCATTTGTTCATAATGACACTTGTCAGAACATTGTGCTTGCTTCATCTCTTCCCAGACAAACCTCTGGTTTCTTCGCCTCCTCCTTCCTCCTCAGGTTTCCTTTCTTTTTTCTTGTGTCAACAAGCTACTGTGATGTGTTTTTTGGCCTTCCATTGTCAACTCTTTACAAGGCCGGGGAATTAATTTTTCTGGGTGTTTTTCTGTGCTGGGTCATTGGTTTGCAGGGTGTGCTGTCACTAGGCATGTGTGAAACCTGGTACCTGAGATAGCTGCCATGTACCTTATGTTGCCCTCTCCTTTTTTAGCTGCCCTCCTCCTGTGTGGGTTGTAGGGAACTGGAAACTTGGCAAACCAGCACTGTCCTATCTGTCTGCCTGCATTTATGGTATAACAGACAGTAAACACATTAAAGGGTTCACCAATTACTGGTAAGGGCATTAGTGAGTTTACTTGTTCCATCCTGTCCTGACCAGAATACCAAACAAGTGAGTTTACTCAGTTTTCTTTTGTTTTTCTTTTGATATTCAGGCCATTGTGTCTATCTGTCCATTTATCTAAAATATTTATAGAGCAGCTTAGGTGATGGGTATGTATAAATGCATTTGATACATATTACAGATATGTTCGATTTCTACATTATCTTTCAGGCTGGGGTTTTTATTTCTCCTGATTTGTCTACTGACCCATAAGGCTGTAGATTTTATTCCTCTCAGCAAGTTTTTTAATTGCTCTGGATATAAATGCATGCACAAAGGGACTTTTCCTCTTGCTGGTACTACTTGGCAAACCGGGGGGCTAACAAGCTTACCAAGTGTTTATCTGCAAGGTGAACAAGTCCAGACATATGGTCAGAGGTGGTGCTTTACACACAAGTGTAGTGAGATGGAGGGCTCCTGGTTTGCCTTGCACAAAATCCTCCCCCAGCAGCATGAAGAGCGGCACACACCAGCACACAGAGCAGCTCTCCCGGCCTGGCCGAGTGTTCGCTGGAGTGTGCCTGGTGTGAAATGCACTCAGCAGCCCTGGAGCTGTACCCTGCCTCGCTGCTCGCTGTAGCAGTGCATAGCTAACCGTCTGGAGGTGGTTTATTGCTGGTAAAATCTCGCAGCGCACAATTTCCATTTACCTGTCAAGAAAAATATAGGGATAAATGAATTTTAGAGCCATGCACATGTATTATTAATTTTATTTGTGCCTATTAGGTATGGGCCTAAGCAGCAAAATTGAGTTCTCTAGCTTAGCTTTCACCTAAATATATAGGTATCCGTCTCTGAACTACTGCCACCTTTCTGAGAATGAGAAAATTTAAGTTTTGACACACCTAAACTCTGGATGCCTGTAAACAAGGTATCTGTGGGTAATCATGTTCCAATACCTGCTACAGATTTAGCCAAAGACCTGTTGTGATATCGCGCTTACGTAATCCTGTAATTAGGTGAAATTCATAGCTTTAATTTTCTAAAACTAAATTTCATCTGAAAAAAAACCAAGCAAAATATAAATAAAAAATCCTTTACAAATTGGAAGAGTTAGTCTCATTTTAAACCATGTTTTAAAAATAATGTTAGAGAAAAATATGTTAGAATCCCTTTTGTCTCTGAGTATCATATAGTCATATTGATTGCTATTTTTCTCAGATTTGCAGGTTGTCTGCCTGAAATATAGTCTGATGTTAGTACAAATTAAAGGAGTTTGGATATTGAGTCATGCTAAGCTTGTTATTTATTTAATGTAGTTTATTTACTTCTTGTGGTTTTGTGTTCATAAATTTCAAAATGTAGGCTATATAAAGCTTTGGGCATCCCAAATGTAAAAATAATAAAAAAAAGAAAATACAGCTCCGGAAACATTAAATGACAACTGATCTGCCTGCTAATCTGTGAAGAGAATTTCTGGAATGATGGTCAGTGATTCCCTTCAAAAAAGCCCAGGGAAACAGAAACAAGCCAGGGTCAGAGACACCTTGCTGTCTTTGTGCACACAGTTGACGCCTGGATTAGCCAGTGAAAGATACTGCAATGATAGTTGCTCATGCCCTGGAAACAATAGGCTGTTTTAGGGCCATGCCCAGGCTTCCTGTTCTGCTCACTCAGCACTGTCATGGATTTTTCTGATCCCCTCTGCACTGTATCCTAAAGACAAGTCCTTTATCTCCCCTGGTTCAACTCTCTCATCTGTCTAACCCCTGTGGAAACCCAGCCTCTATTACCCCTAGAAATAATTGGGATAGCTATACCAGAGACTAAGAAATGAGTAGGCAGATACTAGAGGGCTGTTGGAGCCCTTATAACTAGAGACCACTCCATGTCCACAATGCCAGCTGAAATAGATGGGCTTCAGTGTATCCTGAGGATACACTGCATTTAGGTCACTGCAGTCTAATGGAGTTGCCTTCTAGGAGCAGGTCCTTTCCTTCCTTGAGCAAATCAGCTTTCTCCAGGGTGAGCTCTGCTTGGTAACCTCTGCTGGCCAGAGATGCAGAAGTATATCACAGAAAGAGGGACATCACCTCTCTAATGTGTGTGCCTGTGCCCTCCAGTATTTCCAAGGGAAGAGCCATTTCTGGTTTGTCAGCCAGCACCAGTCTCTATATAAAAGCCTACTCAGTCTGCTCCTTTCCTCTCTTAAGTGTTTATATCCACCGATAGTATCCTTCTCAACTGGGGCGTATTGCAGACGTCTAAAAGGACATAATTAAACAACACTTAAAAATAAATCAGAACTCCATGGACAGCTAAAAGTAGAAAAAGTTTTCTTCATAGGTCTTTCCTGCTTTTCAAACATAAAGCCAACTCTGCTGGTAGAAGTAGGCATTCACTGCCAAAAGATTAGTCAGTGCAACTGTGGCCATCTCTTCTGTCTTTCTGACTGAGGTGGGCAGCACTGCTTGCAAGGTAGATTGCACTGGAGCAAACTGTGTCTGCCCAGCTCAGTTTTTGTGATGCTGGTGCTGCACTCTCTGCACTGGAATGTATAAATGAAGAGAATGCTCTGAACCACCACCTCACTCAAAGCATTTTGTGCTGTTTCAATTGGAGTGTAATGGCCACTAGCAAATCTTTCTGTTTCCTACTCCAGATATTTCTGTTGGTGTCTGATCAGAAGAGTAAACATTTGGAAGGACTTGCAAAAGATGGTCTGGTCCCTCCCTATGCAGTGAGACAAGACCAACTCTACAGTGGTTGCCCCTAACATGTATTTTTTGAAGACACCCTGTGCCTGCATAGCTGGTGCATGTCCATTATTCACTCTCCTTGCATTTGAAAAACCTTTAGTAATGTATGATTCAAATTGATTTCGCTGCCAATTATTTCTGGTCCTTCCAAGATATGTGGTGGTTATTTCTCCTCCTCTTCCTCAGAACTACCTTTTATCTGCCTGAAACCCATTAATTCCTGTGTCTCAGATGCCTCTAGTCCAGCTTAACAGGCTCATTGTTTCTCACAGGTCCTGTTTTCCAATCTTTGTGTCATACATATTTCACTACTGTTTGATTTGTCTACATGTTTTCTTAAATTTACTGTCCAAACCCAAGAAAGGAGTTCCAGTTCAGGATTCAGTCATGCAGATACAAATACCAGCCATGTTTTCCCTATCACACTTCACTTACCTAACCCCAGAATGAATGAGATTTACCTTTTTTTTTATGAGTGCCTCATTACTTTCGCTTAGTCTCCCTGCAGCTTTCTAACCCTCTCTTACTGGTCTGCAGCACAGTCTGCATCTCATTCTCCACTTCTGTATTTGAACATTAATTGTTTTTCCTCCCTTCCTGAGCACAGTGCTTTGTGCTCGCTGTTGCTGGATGCCATCTGGTTGGTTTCTCCATGGAGACCGCTTCTTCAATTTACTTATGATCCTGGTCTCCAAAGCACTTGCAACTGCCCCCAACTTGGTGTCATCGACAAAAGTCAGGTGACTTCTTTCTGTTCCTTCATGAAGGTGTTAATTAAAGTATTCAAGAGATCAGGACACAAAAGCAGACTGTGGTGGGAGCCCACAAAAACCTCCATCCCTGGTTGATAACGATCTGTTGATTGCCGCTCTTTGAAGCATCCTGATGGTGATTTAACATCCGACATATTCTTGTAGCTTGTTGAAGACTGTCAGGTCTTCTGAAGTCAAGATATATCTCATAATCACACATACTGCTCCTGCATTATCTGCTATGCCAGATATCCTACAAAAAAGGGAAATGAGGCTGGGGTAGCAGGATATGTGCTTGCCAAAAGTACATTGCTTATTTTTTCTTTCACTCTGTTATTATCCTCTCGGTGCTTATAAATGGGATGTTTAATTATTTGTTCCAGTATGTTGAGTGACTTGTTCCAACAAGGACACAGTGACTGCCCCTTTCCCAGCATTACCTTGGCTTCTTGTTCTTTTAGGGCGATATCCTCATGCCGTTCTCAGGCATTAAATATCAATAGAGAAATCTCTATAGTCCTTACTTATCTCATCAGGGTCACAGACACAAAGGCACAGAGGTTTTAGCATGCATAGGGTTTAAAAGTCCTGCAATAAAGAGATAGGCCTGTCCAAGTCAATCTAAAGGAATAACTCTATTAGGAGGAAGCAGATGGTTGCTATATTTGCTGTCCAGAGCCTTTACAGCTAGGCATCATTGTGAATGGAGGTGTTCGGGAACTTTTCAATGAAACAAAAACATTCCACTGTTTTTGACTTTTAAGTTTTAATTTAATCAGGAAGGTTTTAAAG